CTCTGAGCTGGCTGTGATCCTTGAGGAGTGAGATCTTAAGAGTTATCAGTGAAAACATTCATTGAAAACATCAGCTCAGGATCATTCCAAAAAGCAATGCAAAGGTTAGAAATTGTTAGGAATAAAGAGCAAAACAGAAGAATCCTTATTCCACTGCATAAATTTATGATTAATCCTGCTGTGTATAGTTTGGCAACTCATTTCAAAGAGGTTGGTTATAATGGAATTGCAGGTCATTTAGAAGAAGGCATTATGGGCAATATTATGCATAAAATGGCTTTTACATGAGAAACCAGCTGTGTAGATTAGGACCCTTTAGCCAGGAAGAGAGAATTTACAGGGGGAATACTGTAGAGGTGTATTTTGAACAAAGTTGTAAGTGACATGGAAGTCAGTAGATGTAGACTCTGCTGGTTCTTCACTCAAAGCCAAGAGCTGGGTGTCATCAAAGCTAGCAGGAGCCAGCTTCAAAATGGACAAAATAAGGTGGTTCCTTGTATAATGGGTAGCAGATGTGTGCAACTCCTCATGAAGATGATGCTGCAAATCCGGAAAGTTTACGTAGTTTCAGGGGAGACTGGAAAAGTCATTGAAAGACAGACTGATTGAGAGTTACTGAATAGGTAAAATATATCAGCCTAGAGAAATTCCTTGAGCTGAAAATAATTGGAGTCTGGGAAAATATTAGGGGAAGTGTAGGTAACCTATACGCTTGCTTTCCTCTTACTTTTGGTATCTGCTTGTTGTCCCTATTTTTTCAGAGCAGAGAGGGACTGGAAAGGATGAATTATAAACATAATCTTTCTTGTTATCACAAAGTATGTAGTAAAGTTTTCTGCAGCTGTGTTCCCTGAGTACAAATGATGAACTTACTGGCCTACCTTGACCATTGTTCTGAAACAGTATAGCTGTCTTTGGTTTTGTTGGCTCACTCAATAAAAGCTATACTAGTGGAAATTGGATTTGAGTAAAAGCTTTGAAGGACCAAAGGGTTATATGAACATGTGGTTTTGAATATGAGTTCAGATCATTAATACCCTTTAGCAGATCTTTAGAGCTTCACAAGAGATCTTTAGAACTGTAGCAGATCCTTAGTGTTCAGCAACAGCTGGATCACAATAACAGATGTGTATTAGACTTGATGTAAAACAAGACTGACTTCAGACTTCTGATACGAAAAGCAAGAAATTGTAAGAATATAGAATACTACTGTAAGAAAAATAAGAACATACAGGCAAGAAATTAGGAAAAATTTTACATTCTGTTCTTACAGTTACTAGATAAAACCACCACCGTGTTGTAGGTTAAATGTCTCCTGATTTGCAAAACTGTCTGTGATTTTACTAGGACCCTTGTTCTACAATGTTTGCATAGGTATCTTTAGATAAATGTTGCCTCGTTTATTTGTAAGATTGTGGACTAGACATGCTCAAATCAGTCAGTCACCAAAATAAGATGAAGCATAGTGCAAAGTCCTAGCCAGATTGAAAACATTAGCCAAACTTCCGTGCCACAGTGATTTTAATTGAATATACAGTATATTGATGGAAGGAAGAAACGGTCTAAAGCTAAAATTTAATATAAAAAAATCCAATTATATTGTCAAGTCAATATTAGTAACTTTAAAAATTTCTTTATAAACTCTCAAATATTCTCCAGTTCCCAATTTTATCAATAGACGGGTATATAGTTTTATACTTGCTAATGTTAACAGGTCTAAACAAGTCAGGCTGTTTTCTTGAAAAGAAATGCTTTGTTGTCTAAAAATTTGCTTTTAATGTAATTGAAAATAGAGTTGTTCATATTTTTGAAAAGTCTTAATAATATAAGAATCTGTCATGCTGAAAGAGGTGGTATGGAAATGCTAAGTGCAGATGCACATATAAGAGTAATGGTAAATAGTAAACCACATTCGTATTTCTTTTCTACAGAAGGTGTATAGTGGTTTGGGTGAACGACTCCTTCAATATTGCCAGCTATGTATGGTAAAACTTGTTAAAGGATGATTATTTATAGGAATGCTATGAATTTTTTGTATCTACACTTGTAGCTTATTTTCATTTTAAAGACTGTGGACCATAACTCTGTACTTTTGTATTCAATATGGGGAGTTAATCCCAGAATGGGGCTTTTTTTGATGCAAAATTTGAATGCTTGTGTAGTAGCAACAGCTGTCCCCTCACCATGTGGTATCTTCCATTGCTTTACTGTAGAGATGAATTTTGGCCCAGTGTTTCAGTAATATTGGACACACATGGTTTTAGGTGACAAAGCAGTATGTTTATGCATTCATTTGACTCTCGCAGTTACAGTTGGCTACAGATTAGAACAGAGAGAATACATTCACACCATGACCACCCTCATAGCTGCTTGTAGTAGTTGGATCACAGTAGGCGCTGTTGCATCTAAAGACACAATTAACTGTTGCTGAGGAATTGCAAATTCACAAAAGCTCTTTTACAGCTTTAGCAGATGAGAGTGGATTTTCTAAAAGCCTTTTCAAAGATTTTCCAAATTTATAAATGTTTTAGATCTTCACATTCTAAAATTATTGTTAGCTGGAAATAAGATTAACAAGTTGATATTTTAATGTAGCTAATGAATTCTTGTACTGTGAATTAGCTGTGTAATGAACTACAGATCTACAGAATGATTGTAGTTTTGTCTGTTATTTAGGAAGATAACCTTGAGTTCTGTAATACTTACAAGTGGTTAGTAAAGTTGTGACCACATAGGAAAATCAAAGCTTACCAAAAAATTCTGAAAATAAAACTTACCAGGAAGCTTCCGATATGTGTACATCACTGAAAAGGTAATCTTGATTTCTGTGTGTAATTGCTTAGATAGGTTTTGGATATGGTAAGAGAATAGCTGTGAACCTAGTTTAAAACAAACAAACAAACAAAAAATCACGACCTCGCCCCCCCCCCAAACAAACAAACACAAAAAACCCAAACAAAAACCAAAACCCACCACCACAACAACAAAAACCCCACAAAACCAGAAACCTACCAAAAGCATAACAAAACACCTTCCCAACCCACCCACCCACACCCTGTTCCCTGACACCCCCTGTAAAAAGTTTTAATACAAGTTAAATAGAAAATTATGGTAAACTGCATATTAAGGAAAATTTTGAGGTATGAAGTTTGACTAATTTTTGAACAAAAGGCTTTTAACCAAAAATCTTAGAAGAATTCATTATTTAAATTACAATGATGAAAATTTTTATACATAGAACATTAAGTACCCCAAATCTTCCATTTTAAAAATATCTGAGAAATATTTTAGTATAAAATATATATATGGAGTATAATATAATAAATAACCATATGGAGTACATTAACTTGTTTAATACAATGAAAGTAATAAGGTTATTGTGCAATGTGGAGATTCTCTGTGTATTTATTATTTCTTTCTGACAAATTGTATGATAATGTGTGTAACGTGTGCGAGATCTCTCACATACACACACGTTATCTTAGTGTCTTGCGTTTGAATCATCATAGCTAATTCATTTAATACTTATATTAAAAACTACCCGAATATGACTGTCTGAGGCTTTCAGCACTGAATAAAGGACTACATGGATCCAAACTAGGACGATTGATGAAATCCTTGCTACTATTGGCTATTATTTACTGTCTTTTAAGTGGCAGGTTGTATTTATGCCAATTTATCTGCTTCAGGGAACACTCTTGATAGCAGAACAAAGTGAATAAAAGTAGTTTGCTTTGCAAATGAATGCAAATGGTGGAGCCTTTCGGGAAGCCCTTTAACAGGAGCAATGCACTTTGATTATGAGTGAAGCTGCCATTTGGACATGGTGAAAAGAGCACGCTTGAACCATTGATTGGGGGAGACAGTAAAAAGTCAGGAAGGGCCCCGTTAAGCTTGCAGTGCGGCAGGCGGATGTCAGTGTGGTTAGAGCACAGTGGGAGAATGACAGGCAGGATTAGTGTCAGGGAGAAGCTTTGCTGTAGTTGTGGAGATGGTCCCTGGGGTCACTCACCTCTGACTGTTGTTCTATGCTGATGGCTCTGTAATGCAAACCGCTTGATATGTGGCTGTTCATTATCGGAAATGGTGATTAGAGGAGGTATGTCATAAAGAATTCCTTAAAAATAAATAAAATGGCAAACCACTGATGGTAACAAAGATTTGGCTCTGCGGTCGTTGCCAAAGATGCTGCAAATGTCAAAGATGGTTACTGCGTCTTGCCTTCTGAGGCAAGCGTGATTTTGTGCCTTAAATTGCTATAACTGTGTGTTCCTGGCTTTGTTCGCTTCTATATGGCCATGGCGAAGACAGTTATTTTTAACAGATTGTCTTGTGCAGTTAGAGCAAACCATTTTTATATCTTTTGGTTATTGGGCAGTACAAGCATCCGGTTTGGTTTTGTGGCATAACCGTGCTGCAGGGAGAATGGTGTTTAATAGTATTAATGAAATATTGAAATCAACAGATTTCATTCCTGAATCATTCCAGAATGCTAAAACATAGGATGATTATGGTGACAACAAAGATAAAATTACTCTTCTGTTTTATTTAGAAGCTTTTTTTGAAATGCAAAAATGAGGAAATTTTCTTTGTCTTTATTGAAAAATCCTACATGTACAATTAAATAAATGTATAAAATTTTGCATCTTAAACTGTGATTTAATCTTTAATAAAAGTATTGTTGCTTTTTACCTTTACTACATTTTATAGTGTTAGGTACATTGTATAAACGTTCATAGACATTAAATATGTTAGTGTGTACAATATACAAAATGCATTTTTGGAGGGTTAAGAATTTTTGGTATCTTCCTGTTGGTCTGTTGGTTTTGTGTGTTTCCAGCAACAGTACAGGGAGATGGTACCCAGATCATTGAAACTATTAATTTATTTTCTTTTAACATGATTTGATTAATTTGTTTGAAGGGTTTTTTTCAGTATATTACCTCACAAAAATATGTCCAATATTCCAGTGTAATGAATGTTTTACAAATGTTTTACAGGCACCTGAATGGACAGAGGAGGACCTCAGCCAGCTGACAAGAAGTATGGTTAAGTTCCCAGGGGGGACCCCAGGTCGATGGGAAAAGATTGCTCACGAATTGGGTCGATCAGTGGCAGATGTGAGTTCACTCAGATTTGCATAGTATAGAGAGTGACAAACCAGAACAAGACAGACAGTGTAGAAGGCAGACGTATGTGGGGGCTGACATTGTCTTTTGAGAGAGGCTACAATCCTTTTAGGACCTGGAAGTGAACCATTAACTAACTATGCAAGAAGCAGATGTCAGCCAGTCTCTCCCTCCACAATTAACAGCTGTAACTGATCAGCTGGGTGGGGGATTCTGGTGCTTACAGACTTGAGCTACTGTAGCCCAATAACAGAAAAACAATGCACTTTGGGTTTTGTAGCAACCTCCTTTCACTGCAAGTGAATGTTTGTGCAACTTGGTTAAAGATTACATTTCTGTTTCAAGCCAGTCCTTAAAAAATGTAGATGAGCTAATGATATTTAGACAGGTGGTTTCCATTAATTAAACTGAAATATCTTTGCAAACTTTAAAATAAGTTATACATATGATACTATTTTGGTCCCCTTTTCTGGATTATACCATGGTTAATAAGGATACTGTGTAAAAATGATTAATATCCTTGTTAATTCATATTTTATATTATTATACCAGATATCAAAGAAAGCTTGTACTTATGGATTTCAAGTGTTATGATCTTAAACCCCATAGGGGTTAGGCTATAAAAGACTTTTCCTTTTCAAGCAATAGATCACTAGAACATGATGTAGTGTCTGCTGAGGACCATTTGAAAGCCCTTTCAGATGACCCTATTTTATAGGCTCTGGAGGGGTTAATGAGAATAATGTTTAAATCTGTTGATGTACATTTTGAGATTACATGTTCTTTATTGTATTTCAGGAATTATCTTAAATAATGGGAAACAAAGGCTCTGGCTAGAGTGAAATGTAAGCCATTGTAGCCTTCTGGGCAATTTACATACTTCTTAAGTATTTGGGGTTTTTTCCCTGTTGATATAATCACAAAAAGGTATTTTTAGAAGTTATTTTTGAAGATTTAATGCATCTATACAATTGTTACGTATACTAGAAAACAAGCCATTTGCATTCTTATCATTGTAGAACAACACGCTATTTGCATATAAGTGGATGTAAGCAAGTAGTTACTAACCTCCCATGCAAATGAAATTAAGTCTTTTTTTTGTTTGTTTATTCTGCCTAATGTTGTTTATCATATTCCTTGAAGTATTCGTACTACTGAAGTGGAGTGTATTAAAAAGGTGCTATGGTTTACTAAGCGTAGATATTAAGAGCAAAAATATTTCACAAGGCTTGGTAGTATGCAGTGTGTATGGGAAAGATCTTTTGAGATGACTTTGGAAAAACTGATTAATTTTCTTGATACTTATAACACAGACATGCAGAATGGTTTCACATACACCCATCACAAAATTGACACTATCTTAAGATTGCCTTTTGCATCCACTTTCTGCTTTATTCCTTGGTGTAGTTGTAAAAATATTCTTTATTAAGAATCCTTTGCGTAATATATTTGGTGACCGTACTTACATCCAGTACTGGAAAGAAAAATCAAAGCTTGCTTGCTTCTTCCATTAGGTGAGAAGTCCTGAGCAACATGCTTTTCTTTTCAGTGAATTCGAAAGAGAAATGAAAGAAAGGTATATGTTCTAAGAGCTGTCATCTTCTTGTATGAAAAAAAGGCATTTTCAGGGATTTTTATGTGCGGAGAAAGGTCTGCGTGTAATCCTTTTTACTTCCAGTGACCTCCATCTATATGATTAATGTAAGTGTTCCCTATGCGAGTTTTTAGTTCTCTAAAAATTTCCAACTGCTGGTAATGCTAGGTCAGATTCCCTGACATAGAGTACTTATTCGAGTTTCTGCTACTTTTATGATCGCATTGCACAGAGTTGCAGTGATCAGGTTTTAAGAGGAAACACTTAAACAAAAGCTTCCTGGAAATTTATCTGGATCTCAAACTGTTATTGCATCAGTAAATGGAAATGTTGAAACTGGGAACTACTTCAGATATATCCATTCAGGTATTGAACCAGATGTACAGTTTATCCCTTATATTTGTTGCAGGTGACATAGAATAGTCAGGTGACATAAAAGATGACATGGAACAGAGCAAGAATTCTTATTTTGCTTAGACATCACCAATGAATTTCTTGAGTAAGAAATGTTATGCTAAAGCTTCAGGAAAGACTTTCGGTTTTGTTAAAATTTGTGCACAGAAATACAGGTGTTTGCATGTTCAGGCAGCATTTGCTGCCCAAACAACTGTTCCCTGTTTCCACTGGGAGAAGTGCAGGGAGTTAATTTTTGGTGCATGAGGTGCTGTTTTGAAATAGTTTGTGTAGCAGTGTGGGAATCCCGTGCTTATAGCTAATTTAACATTAGTCAAGTCAGAGAGACTGAGGTGTGTATTATCTGGCAAGGGCACTATATCTTAAAAAAGAAAAATATTCAAGGGCAAATTTGAATTTGTTTTTCTGACATTTTCTGCGACACGGGGAATACTTTTTAAAAACTTGCTTTCTGCTAGTTTCTTTTCCTGTAAAGTATTGAGAGCAGCAAGGATTGGTTTTCTTTTCGCAGTTAGAAAACTATGATAGGATTGACAAGATACAGTGTGCTAGTTTCCATGTGATTAGAAGCATTCAAACCCTTTTTAATAGTATATTAGCTAATTAGATGTTAATAAAAACAGTACAGAGTAATCCAGTCCAAAATGATCTCTCCATTGTTGCTTCTGTCTCAAAGTTTTCTTCCTCAGCAAAAAAAGGTTAGAAAAATATTTCAATACTTTTTAAAGAATAAGCTGGAACCATTCATATATACCAGAAGAGCATCAGTGAAATTCACTTCCTCTAACCACCCCAAAAAGATTCCATTTTAAATTGTCTTAAACTCCTTCCTTTTCTAAAAAAGTAAATGCCTACATCAAATTATATTTGTTTCCACTGGCAGTTTTGAAGCAGGATGAAATGGAGACTGTCCTTGACTTCTGTGAACTTTTCAGCTTCACAGTGTTGTTTTAACTTAGTTTTGTGGGTTCATTTGTTTTGGAGGCTCTTTTAATACATTTCTGAATTTTCCTCCTGACATTATGTTAATGAGTTTTGGAACAATATGAAGAAAAGCTTCTAATACTTGGCGCTTTGATACTGGTCTTTTTCACATACAAAGAAGGCCCAAAAAGTTTGTGTGACTCATTTCCAGAGAGATTTGTTCAGCTTGGAAAATTCTTCCTTGCTTTTGCTAGAACATGACTTTGATACCTCAGAATCTGGTGAGCACATGTAAATTTTACAAAGCTAAGAGGAACTGAAAGTATATTGGAAGATAAGTAGAATTCAAAAAGTTCAGGACAAATTGGAAAAATAAGATGGAGAACATAGGGTGGAGTTAAACAGACAATATATGCAAGGACACAGCAAGATGGTGATCAGGTTCACAAATAAAAGATGCCAAACAACTGGCTAGGGGTAGCTGTTAAAGGGATGTGGGGATTAGAGATAATGAGCTAGATGTAAGTCAACAAATAGTGAGTTGTGAAAAAGACAAGCATATTACTGAGAATATGCAAGCAGGAGGATGGTAAACCTGCATCTACCTCCTTAGTTTGTGTCTAGTTTTCAGTATTGCACTTAAGCACATGATTCAATATAAAGAGACCAGATGAGAATAAAGAGAATAATAGGTCTCTAAAGTATGACTACAAGGAAAGACTGTGAAGGAATTCATATTGTTGAACTGAAAGAAAGTATGAACTGAGGATATAAGTATTCAACTGCATAGAAAGAAAACTGTAAAGAGGAAGGGGCTTGTGCACTGTATTAGTTTTATAGGGCAAGAAGTAATTACTTTGGAGTTAGACACTGAGGGGCAAAGAATTACAGTGGAGATGATAAAGCAATGGAGTAGGCTGCTGTGGAGTCTCCAAATTTGCAAGCCTTTAAGAAGAGGTTACACAAACATCTGCAAGAAACATCATGTGTAGTGATTCTGCCCGAGGTTAGGCCCTTCTCTTCATATGGGCTATGATTAGACTAGCAAGTGCAAGCTATCTAGGAGGAAAGGGGGAGGAAACAAAACCTTCTCTACAATTGGAAGCATGTGTGAACTCATTTTAAAAAAATGTAAAATTAAAGCCAGATAGTCACCGTAGTTGGTTAGTAATCACTGTGTATATCTTAGCTTGACTGGTTTTAAATTAAATAATTCCCAACAAAGTGTTCTTTCAGATCTTTTTTCTTTTCTACTACTATTCAAATTGGGGTGCTGTAGACATTTAAGTTTGTTATTTCCCAAAATACCACACAAATAAGGATTTCTGTAAGGCCCATTATATGGGCACATCTACCAGATCCCCCATCCAAAGAGGTACATCCACATGATGTGATGCAGGCCACTGGGAGAGTGCCAGCCAAAATCGAACAATAAACAGCTATGTCCCTGCTGTAATGCCCCTGAGCTCATTCAGCTTTACTGTTTCTGTTTATGCTGCCTCATGCGATACCAGCATCAGTATCTTTGCAACATATTCCTAAGTTTTTCAGCTCAGGTTAAGCTTGCAACCATGGTGCAGACAATACTGTAAGAAGGCTTATTACTTTAACTTTTGTCATGTTAAATATAGGATGTTTATCTTGTCTCTCTTCAGGAAGACATCTTTTAACAGCCAATGAATAATCAACCCAAAATAGATGAGGTTAAGTTGTGCTCATTTTATCAGTATGTTTAATTGTTTGAATTCCTAATTGTCATTTTAATATGTGTATATTGGGAATTTAGAAATCTTTTCCCATAAAGATGATTTTCAGCCAGCTTAGTATAATGAAATCTTACTACTTTCACAACTGAAAGCTTCTACATCTTTTAAAGTCATTTTTATTGCAATTGGCTGGTGTTATAAATTAGATTTTCAAGTATTTTGATTATGAAAGGGAAACGGAGTTCAGTTAACTCTAATCAGGATTCCTGCCTGCTGACCTGGTTACCTGTACCACTGCTCTCTGTCATCCTCTAAACATCTGTTCTTTGACCCATTTTCCTTGCTGAATTTGT